CACACACACACACACAGCTGACTGGAAGACCTCTTATGTATCACCAGTGCCCAAGTCAACCAGCCCACAATCCTTAAATCAGCTACGACCTATTGCAATCACCCCAATACCCAGCCTAATCTGTGAAAGTTTTGTGTTCGACTGGGCTTATGCTGATATTGCAGGAGTCGTAGACCCTCATCAATTTGGCAATATGAAAACTTCCTCCACCACTCACTGTCTTGTCAGCTTTCTCGATTACATATACCGCCATCTCGAGAAACGAAAAACGTCTGTAGCTGTCGCCTTCATTGATTTTACTAAAGCATTCGACCTAGTCGACCACAATATAATCATCAACAAAGCTATTGACCTCGGGCTTCGGAGAAGTCTTATACCATGGCTTACAGACTTCCTCAGTGACCGACGCCAAACTGTACGCTTCCGAGGGGCTGTCTCCACCTTTCAGTCACTCACCTGCGGCGTCCCCCAAGGCACCAAGATGGGACCACTCTGCTTCCTTATGCTTATCAATGATGCCCTAGGACAAACCCCCGCTCGCTGGAAATATGTCGACGACTCCACCATTGGGATCAGTGTCAATAATTCTGCTCGCCCTTCAGGATTTATTGAACAGTCTCCAAAACTGGGCCACCAACAACCACGTCACCATCAACCATACCAAGACCATGGTTATGCACATCAACCTCTCCTCCGACATTGTCCCACCCCCTTTCATTAATTTAGGTCCCAACACACTCTAGGATGTAGAATCCACGAAGCTCCTCGGCGTCACCATAGACAACAAACTAAATTGGAAACCACACGTCAGTGAAGTTGTCAAATCCTCCAGTCTCCGTCTTCACCTCCTCCGCCGACTCAAGTCCCTCGGAGTTCCTGCACCCGAGCTCCTCAGTGTTTACTCAACATTCATACTTCCCAAGCTCACCTATGCCTCCCCTACATGGTCTTCCTCCCTAAATGCCACACAACGTAAACACCTAGAAAAAGTGCAAAAGAGGGCATGCAAGATTATTCTCTCCCCTTCCTACTCCACATATCAAGAAGCGCTCAACACACTGACCCTTTCGACTCTCACTGACCATCACCACGATCTCATCTGCAAATTTGGTAAGAAGCTTCTGCACCATCCTCGACACCGGCTCCTACTACCACCTGAGATCCCTAGCCCGAGAAGTGCTGTTCGACACCACAACCGCATCCAGCCCATACGTGCACGAACTGATCGCTATAAGAACAGCCCAGTCCCAACCATTGTAAAAATTATCAATAACTTGTAATAAACCAGTGTATTCACTCCTAGTAAATACTACTTCTTGCACTGTCACTATGTTGAAATGCCCTGTAGTTTGAGCTTTTCCCCATCTAGTTATTGTATATCATTTATATCACTTATGTTGTTGTATATTATTTGTAATTCGAAACCCATTCCCCAATTATGTAACTGTATATTTTCAGCCTTCTGGCTGCCAAGCTCTTTCAATAAACCGTTAATTATTATTATTATTATTATTATTATTATTATTATTATTATTATTATAAGAAATAAACTCTAAGTATAATTATATATATATCTCCCTCAATTTTGACTAATATAATAACTTTGTGGGTAAAAATCATTAAATCCTAAGTTAAGATTATATATACACACACACACACACACATATATATATATATATATATATATATATATATATATATATATATATATATATATATATATATATATATATATATCATCTCAGTATATCGTGAAGATTTGCTTATAGTGAGCCGAGGTTCTGAAGTGTGTGTGAGGAGGTGTATTATAAATGAAGAACAAATATAGGCGTTAGTCTGCTTAAGGAGAGGGGGAGAGTTTTGAAGACTGAGATGTTTAGACCTCCAGGTGTTTCTCAGGTTTTGACATCTCTCCCACGCTCCTCGCCACCCTCACTAATCCTCGCCACCCCCCCCCCTCACTACTCCTTGCCACTCCACCACTCAGACAGATAACGATAAAACTCATTATTCCACCAGATTAAATTCTCATACAAATCATAATAAGTGACAGAGAGAGAGAGAGAGAGAGAAAGGGCGGGGAAAAGCCTTTAAGATGATGGCCAATCTATTGTATAATTATATATCATAGATCTATTGCATTCTCTACAGTCTATTGTATTATCTAGACCTATTGTAGTCTCCTAAGTCATATAGGCAGTTATGGCACACTTAAACGATTTTCAATTTTCGACTTAATTTTCAGATTTGCTCCCCCCCCCTCCACCCCACCCTACCACCCCCTCCTTCCTTCTCAACCTATGCCGGGGTTACAGTCCCCTCCTTGTGTATTGAAAGGTTCAGTATGCTGTATCCGCGCTGCCCCTAACAAGCCTTCAGGCCTATGGGACACACATTAATTTTCACAGAGACAAACACGTGTGTGTATAGATGCAACTGTGGGTTGTTTGGGAGAATTGTGCATAGCTGTGTGTTTGGATAGATTCATATGTGTTTATGTATATTTCTGTGTGTATGTATATAACTCTGTATGCATATGTAGACTATAAGTGACTGATATATGGATGAATTCCTGTGTGTATGGCTACTTAGGTTATCTGTGCGATCGTGTATGTCCTGATGAATGAAAGTGTAATTGTATGGAATGTATGTTTACACTTGTATGCGTGTATGTATTTTTGTGTATATGGAAACTTACGCTGTGTGCGTATATATTTGTATGTATGGGAGATTTTGCTTGTGTACCTTTGTGTGTATAGATGAATTTACGTGTATAAATAATATTTGCATGTATGTGTGTGCATGTGTGTGTGTGTTTGTACGTAAATATACAAGTACGCAATGCAAAACACTGTATACACCTGTAAACGGGTATCTTTATTCAATTAAGAGAGAGAGAGAGGGAGAGAGAGAGCATTGTTATTTTCCACACCAATTATACGCCAGTCTTCATGTGTACATAAATAAACATACCCATAAAACCGAACAGCCAGCAGTAGCGCCACACACGAGACCTATGTTGTGGATAATGAGTTCGTCATTCCCCAACTGACTACAAAACCGGATTATTTTTTCTGTCCCAAGAACGGATATCCTGTTTGTATAGTTTTTTATCACTGTGTTGACATGATTTATTTTATACATTTCCGTTCGTGTTATTTGTGTGTGTCGACGTCTCTTACCTGTAATAATGTCTTTAAATTCACTCTTTGTTCGTCCAATAAACCAAAATCCTATCTATTGGCTCTCAGATTTAATACTTACGACCCGAGAATTTTAATTCCTAGGACAGTTTATAATAACATGAGAAAGAAAGATTTAAAGTATCCTGGGGTTAGAAACTCGGGCCGGACTGTTGCGCAGGCGCATTAGGGATGTTAACAAAAATAATAATTATCGTTTTTTTACGTGGTTGATACTCAGAGACACACATTGTTCAAGGGCGCCTGCAATTTAATCTAATAAAGACTGTTAGTAACGAATGATTTGATTATGGGCGCACACACACACACACACTGCTACATATTCACAAAAGTATATTTACTAGGTGTGTATAGTTACTATATATACATACTGATGTGTGTATACTTTACCGCCTAACTAATGTTTAATATTCGGTATCTATGTATCTATCTGTCTATCTATCTATCTATGACCATATTTTAAGTATCAAACCTTTCAAAACTCCACGGATACTTATGGAAACCTCCTCGCTGGAACTAGTGTAGAAAACCTATTCTGGAGGCGTATTGAAGCCTCAAATTGAAAGGGTCTATAAAAATTCCCAGTGGAAACCTCCTAAAGAAGCCGCATGAAAACTCCTGCTCCTGATGAACCCCCTTGGGAGACCCTTTATGGAAACCCGTTATAAAAAACTTACTGAGATCTCCGTGGAAACCTCAAGAGAAAAAACCCCTAAATATTAAACCTTCTATGACCTTCAATATGGAAAGCCCTGACATTAACTTTCTTGTGGAAACACTTTACTTGGATATCCTTAAAGGAAACCCCTTCTGGGAAAACCTAGTGTAGATGATTTTTATTAAAACTCCCCTGGAAACCTCCTTACGGAAAGCCATTAAAGAAACTACCCACAGAGAGCACTTTTAGAGAATCCTGGGCACGAAGACACACGTGGTTCTGTTTACATAGGTCAGCTGATTTTGTGATTCTTTGTTTACATCTTGCTTCGGCGGTCAGCTGATCCCATGACTTTCTGTTTATATCGGTTAACTGATTCTGTACCTCAAGGTAGATGGAGTTCCACTTCCAGTCCAGACGAGACTAATCCAGAACTAATATAAGGAAAGAACAACCCGACAAACACGGGATTTCTCGAGTTTCTTCTCCTCTCAAAAAACAACAAAAAGCGAACTTCTGCAGCCGAATCAACGACTTCGGTGTCATTTGTTGTAGTGAAAGAAAAGGTGGTATGGGTGATCGTTAAGATAGTACAGTAGATTAAAGCATCGTATTGGACTTCGGTGCAGTCTAAATTAAGAGAGAGAGAGAGAGAGAGAGAGAGAGAGAGAGAGAGAGAGAGAGAGAGAGAGAGACCTCAGTAAAGTTGATGAAAATATAGATTTTACTTCTCTATAATATGGCACAAGTACGAATTTCTTCTTAACACTGTAAGACAGGTTTGTAGTCTGGAAGTAAAGATTCATATTGTCAAAAACAAATAATATCGTCTTTAACCGGAATGCTGCTGAAAGTTCGACCGTCATTCTTGAGTAGTGTATGACAGTGAAAACCGGAGTACCATTATGAGGAGTGAACAACATACTGTATTAAGTCTGCCATAATCACATCCATCCTTCACTTGTCAGGTCACACGTAACTAACTGCACGTGTGTCAACCAGCAACATTGACAAGTACGTCATTTTGACCCCATGGGAGCTGTCCCGGTGGGCCAGGAAGGACACGGTACTATCTGCCAGGGGATGGTGCTTACCTTTAGGTGCAGGCCAGGAGCGAGGTGGGGGGCTTAAGGGCGTACCTGAGGCCTTAGGAGTGGAGTCTGAGGAGCAGTAGCCGTCGTCTCTTGTGAGGTGTGGTGGTGAGGGCGCGGGGGCCAGGCGTGTGGTGACGCGGCCGCCGCCCACCAGGCGCACCTCAGTGGCTGCTGCTGGTGCTGCTGCTGGGGGCGTCACGCCATCACTCCCAGGCTGACCTGCAGGGGCGGACGGGGCCTGGCCCGCCGGGCACACGGGGGCCGTGGCCTCTGGGGTATGGTGGGGCGACGCCAGCGACGCCGGGGTCTTGTTGTCGCTACACGACATGTGAAGGGTGGTGGGGGCGGCGGGAGGGGCGGCCACATACAGGGCGGGGCAGGGCGCTCCTCGCTCACCTCACACACCCCGCCACCGGCTGCTGTGTCCACCTGTGGCTGTGTGCGTCACTCACGGGGCGACGGTCATGGGGCGGCGGGGCGGGAGGCACGGGACGTAGGGACCCGCGTACGGGCGCGGGGCTGCGACCGACCGCCGGTCATGGACGTGGGAGACGGAGTGCTGGCGGCCGAGCCCTGTGCTGGGTGAGGCGCGAGTGTGGCTCTCGGCCCCAGATGGGTGGCCAGCTGCCCCGCCCCGTCCCTCACCGCCCCACCTTCCTCATTGGCTCCGCCCCTTCTGACCCCACCCCTTTTTTCCTTTACCTTGTCCTCATTGGCCCCGCCCCATTCTCAGCTACCCTGTCTCATCTTTTTAAATCCTGCCCCACCTCATACTCCTCTACCCTGCCCCACCTCATACTCCTCTACCCTGCCCCACCTCATACTCCTCTACCCTGCCCCACCTCATACTCCTCTACCCTGCCCCACCTCATACTCCTCTACCCTGCCCCATCTCCACCTCTCACCCCTGCCCCACCTCATACTCCCCAGCCCTGCCCCACTTCACACCCTCTACCCCTGTCCCATCTCACCTTCTCCACCTCTGTCCCCAGCCCCACCCCACCCCACACCCCCCACCCTGCCCCATCCCCACCCTCACCTGCCCCACCTCACACTACCCAGCCCCACCTCATACTCCTCTGCCCGCCCCATCTCACACTCTCACCCTGCCTCACCTCACACCTCTACTCTGCCCCACCTCATACTTTCTACTCTGTCCCACCTCATATTCTCTCTGCCCCACCTCACACTCACTCCCTGCCCCTGTCTCATACTTCTCTACCCTGCCCCACCCTCATACTCTCTACTCTGCCCCACCTCCCACCCTCTACCCTGCCCCACCTCACACCTCTACCCCTGCCCCACTCTCCCTGCCCCACCTCCCCCTCCCACCTCACACTCTCCCCCCTGCCCCACCCCCCACCCCACTCTACCTCATACCCCCACCCACCTCATGCCCCTCTGCCCCCCCCCACCACCCCTGCCCCACCTCACACTTCTCACCCTGCCCCACCTCATACTTCTCACTCTGCCCCACCTCATACTCCTCTACCCCTGCCCCCCACACCCCCCACCCCTGCCCCACCCCACACCACCTCCCCCCCTGCTGCCCCACCCTCACACTCCTCCCTGCCCCACCTCTCCTGCCCCACCCCACTACCCTGCCCCACCTCCTTCTCACCCCGTCCCCACCTCATACCCCCACTTCTACCTGCCCCACCTCACACTCTCCCTGCCCCACCTCACACTCTACCCTGCCCCACCTCATACACCCTGCCCCACCTACTACCCTGCCCCACCTCACACTTATCTACTCTGGCCCCACCTCATACTCTCACCTGCCCCACCCCCCTCTACCCCTGCCCCACCTCACCCACCCCTGCCCCACCCTCACACCTCTACTCTTCATCTGCCCTGCCCCACCCTCATACCCTCTACCCCTCCACACACCCGCCCCACCTCACACTTCTCACCCCCACCGCCCCTGCCCCACCTCACACTTCTCTACTCTGCCCCACCTCATACTCCTCTACCCTGCCCCACCACACACTTCTCTACCCTGCCCCATCTCATACTTCTCTACCCTGCCGCATCGTCCACTGCCCATGTCCCACTTTCTTTTGCCAGGTCCCTACCCTCTTTATTCCCGCCCCACCCTCCACTGCCCTGCCCTGCCCCACCTGAAGGGGTACGGTGGGTGGGTGGATGGGTGGGTGGGAGATGAGGACTAGGCAGGTTTTACCAAATATCTTTCTAGAACTATTACCGTATAAGTGGCGTACAGAACATTATTTTGCTTATACATTTACTACAAATATTCTACCAAAATTCAGAATAATTTTTATCCTGGCATAAAGTCTTGTGTGCTGAAAATAATATAACACTGACACACTTTCCGTATCAAATTTTGGACGAGACATATCAAGATCGGAAAAGTTGTGTGTATGAAAACGTATTGGCTGGTTGATGTTTAGTTGTATGAGTTAGCAGGACGTGTATGTGATGGATGGCCCGCCTACCTCCCGCCTTCCCTCCCTGCTAAATGTTATCACTCCCTCCGGCTCAAACATTTTACACAATTTTTACTCAAGACAGCGAATTGAATTTAACTTATAATTTATTATTTTACACACACACACACACATAGAGTTCATATATATATATATATATATATATATATATATATATATATATATATATATATATATATATATATATATATATATATATATATATATATAAGGACATTATGTTAAAATTTATGTATATTATGTATATTTAAAGACATCGTTCGTTATCGTAACATTCCCAAATTTCTCAAGTGTCCCATTTGGCATGACACACACACACACACACACCCGGCCCCACCTATCCTATAAATTAAGCAGTACAATAACAATGTGGAACTATTTAATAATGCAGGCAGATGGAGTGTATGTGCGGCCATATCACACGAACATCATCAGCATAAACTCAGCTGGCCAACATGACCGAGAATGTGAGGTATTTTATTATCATACTGATGCTATTTTCTCAAGTAGTATTTTTTGGCCATAGCTCGTGTCTTAAGAACCATGATAGTCACTCCTCATTCATTCTACTGTTAATCAACTCTGAGGATGAAAATAGCCACAACTATGATAAGTGCTAAATTTACGCCTTTGGTCATAAAACTTAATCATGCTTGTTATAGTAACAACACTGTACACGGTGACGTGGCGTAGTGTATTATAACATCAACAACACTTCCTCTGTTCTCACTCATAAACAAACTTGATCTTAACAATCGGGAACATGCTGGTTCACATTCTCACACCTTCCCACATTATATTTTTCCATGTACACTAGATGTGTAGAAATTGACTGAGCAGAAACACATCGTACTTGCCATCTCCACGCCGAAGTCTATGAAAATTAATATCGTTTGTTTACCCAGAAACTTCTTTAATGTAAACATCCCAGGAGTGATAACTATAATTTTCCACCAACAGGTTTATATGTTTTCTGTTCATTGACGGAAAACAAACTCGACAGATTCAAGAGGATGCAGCCATGTACTTCCAAATTCTAGTAAAAAAAATCAACTTAAGTCTTCTTCTTTGGAGCCTCAAGAGTCTATGGTGAACAAGACAACGTTGGGAACAACTCGTGCTTGCCAGGGAGCACCATATATTACCACGATAAAATTTATTTGAAAAACAAAACACAACATTCATGTAAGAAATTAGGTTTCCTTCAAATAACTACCAGCGCGCGCATGAGAGAGGAAGACCATAACAAACTGGAGGGATGTCTTAAAGGAAGAACCACCAAGACCTGACTGAATCCAGATTCAGTCTCGTATTGCGAAAAGTGCAATGAAAATTATTCCTATATATTGTGATTAAATCTGGACTCGATCTCTGGTAATCACAAGAGACACTGGACAACATGTCAGTTATAAGAGGATGCAGAATACGGGAATGGAAAAGAAATGGTAAAAGAATTCCAAATTCCACAAGTTGGTAGAGTTAATGATATACGCAAGTGACTTTCTAGAAAACAACTGGATCAAGAAAATATCCCGAGTGACTTTATACAACAAATGTGATCCCGATCTTCAACACGGGAGGTAACGGCGACTGACTCAGTTAGCGGAGACACAAGACTCCCGAGCAGGTACAAAAACAATGGTAATTGATATATAAAACTAACTTGGACATACCTGCAGTGTGATGTGTTGTGGTGTGTTGCGGTCCCTCGAAGAGCTGTTAACTTTCACCTACCTGGAAAAAACACAATTTGATTAGCCTTCCATTCCGCTTTACTCCTATAAATATTTTCGTAAAGGAAGGATCTCAAGGGTGTGTTTATACAAAACCTAACCTTACCTTACATTATTAACTTTATGTACAGCTTTACTATCTTATGATAGAAAGTACGCCTTAAATGACACAGAACAAACTTAACCATATATACGAATTAATTCCATAAAGTTATAGCAATAAAAACAAAAGCTATCCCTACTCGGCAAAAACGTTCAATTGATTTTTAAGGTTTAATCGGCGACACACACACACACACACACACACACACCGAAACACACACACACACACACCGAAACACACACATACACACACCGAAACACACACACACAGGCTTAAGCACGTGTCTTACATAAACTATATCTAGATACTCAGCTGGGTATCCTGTATCCAATTAGGCAGGGAGCCCTAAGTGGACATAAACGAGGAAGACAAAGTCTAAGATCTCCCAGTCGAGTGCCTGTCACTCCCTCCTTCCCTGACACACACACACACCGCCCTGTGCTGTGACAACAATACCTGTAGAGGGTCACACGGAGGCGACATGGACGAAAACAGGTGAGTTGGGAGGCGCTTGTATCGTGTGTCGGACAGACCTTCGTTGACCCAGTGAATTTTTGGGGCTACATAATGGTTTATGAGGTAATTGTTGTAAGGTCGGGGAGACACAATAGGTAGAACTGTGTTAGACTAGATATAGCGGAACTACTGAAACGCACCCCTAGTGTGGTCATCGATAGTCACCTCAACTTAAGCTTCGATGCTGTTTATTTGCTTTTAAAGATATCTTGATGAAATAAATACATATAAACACTGACCACAAATCAATCAAAGCTCATTTTACCTTCGGAGCAATAAGCAGAACAATACAACCAGTGGATGGTTTGGGTATTACTGGAGATGCGGTGCGTGCAGGTATCAAATGTCTTTGTCAGTCAATCAGACATACCAACACGCGCGTGTGTGTGTGTGTGTTACTGGGCTGCGGTCACCCAGTATTGTCACCCACTCTCTAGGTCAAGTCAGGCGAGATATTTTTCCTTGCCTAACAAGTTTTCTCTTTCCATCTCTCTATTTCTCACTCTTTCTGTTTGCTTCTCTGAAACATTAACATAAGTCTACTATACTGAGGCTACAGTCTACTATGGTGAGGCTAGTCTACTACAGTAAGAGGCTGCAGTCTACTACAGAGAGACTACAGTGAGAGGCTACAGTCTACGACAATGTGAGGCTACAGTCAACTATAATGTGAGGCTACAATCTACTACAGTGCGAGGCTACTGTCTACTATACTAAGGCTACACTCTACTATAGTGAGGCTAGTCTACTACAG